CCAAGGCATGCTTTCATTCAGAGACCATTTCATTCTAGATTGTATGTGTTTCCTCCACCACAGACACCCCAGTGCTTCTTACTGTGATGTTATGTCCATGTAAATATCTATATATATAAAAATGTTCTGTTCGTTTTGAGTGACATCATAACTCAAAGTCCGCTGGATGAATTGTCACCAAATTTGGCCACAAGACACCTACTAACCCGAGAAGTGACCATCACTCAAGAAAATTGATTTTGTCATTGGGGAGTTGTAGTTGCTGGGATTTATAGTTCATCTACAATCAAAGAGCATTCTGAACTCCACCAATGATGGAATTGAACCAAGCTTGGCACACAGGACTCCCAAAACCAACAGAAAACACTAGAAGGGTTTGGTGGGCATTGACCTTGAGTTTGGAGTTGTAGTTCACCTCCATCCAGAGAGCACTGTGGACTAAAACAATGAAGGATCTAGACCAAACTTGGCATGATTACACCATTTGCCCAAATATGAACACAGATGGAGTTTGCGGGAAATAGACCTTGAGATTTGGGAGTTGTAGTTTCTGGGATTTATAGTTCACTCTTATAGTGACTCTTCTGACATCCCCTCGCGATGCCAGGTTGAGAAAGGATGCCTTAAGTCAAACTCACTTCACCGGTGCAAGAAAACATAATCAAAACCTTCCTGACAAAGAGCCATCCAGCCATAGATATAAATAGGTAGATATGATTCACTCACTCACTCACTCACTCACAGGAATCCGCTTACACAAGGGTTGAATGAAAAGTAATGCCTCCACCTTTGTAACTCCTCAACAGATGGCAGTACTGGTATGCGGCAGGTACTGGCTTGTTCAGTAGACTCTCCTCTACAGTTCCATTTGGTGGGAAGCCTTAGCATTGAATGGTTGTGTTGTTAAAGTGCGAAGTATGGAACCCTGCGCAGACGGTCCGTCAATGCAACTTAAGCAATGTGCAGTCATTGAATTCTTGACAGCAGAAGGTGTCGCCCCAAAAGAGATTCATCGGAGAATGCAAACTGTTTATGGTGTTTGTGTTGATGTGATTACTGTGCATCATTGGGCAGGAAAGTTTAAAGATGTTGAGGTGGGAATGTCTGACTTGCGTTAGACGTCCTGCAACAGCAACCATGGAGTCTCACAAGCAAAAGGTTCACAGATTGATTCAGGACGATCGTCGTATCACTCAGAGAGAAATTTCAAGCATAAACGCCATTTCACAAGAATCATAGAATCATAGAATCAAAGAGTTGGAAGAGACCTCATGGGACATCCAGTCCAACCCCCTGCCAAGAAGCAGGAATATTGCATTTAAATTCACGTGTGGGTCCTATTATTGCTTTGCTTGGCTATTGGAAGATCTGTGCACGATGGGTACCCAGGATGCTGACGCCTGAAATGAAAGCGCACGGACTTGAAACTTCAGAGACTGGATCTCACCACCATACAGCATCCTCCATACAGTCCAGATTTAGCACCGTCTGACTTCCATCTGTTCCTGATAATGAAAGATCTGCGGGGACATCATGATGCTTCCGACGAAGAAGTTGAGAGAACTGTGAGACGCTGTTTGTGTCGACTTCTTCTGTGACGGCTTCAGAAAACTTGTTCATTGTTGACAGAAATGTATCCAATTGTCTGGTGACAGATTGATTCAGGACAAGTGTCGTATCACTCAGAGAGAAATTTCAAGCATAATCGGCATTTCACAAGAACGTGTGGGTCACATTATTGCTTTGCTTGGCTATCAGAAGATCTGTGCACGATGGGTACCCAGGATGCTGACGCCTGAAATGAAAGCGCACAGACTTGAAACTTCAGAGACTGGATCTCACCACCATACAGCATCCTCCGTACAGTCCAGATTTAGCACCACTTAACTTCCATCTGTTCCTGATAATGAAAGAAGATCTGCGGGGACATCATAATGCTTCCAACGAAGAAGTTGAGAGAACTGTGAGACGCTGTTTGTGTTGACTTCTTCTGTGACGGCTTCAGAAAACTTGTTCATAGTTGGCATAAATGTATCCAATTGTCTGGTGCACTTTATGTTTCCGATGAAGACGTTGAGAGAACTGTGCGATGCAGGTTGTGTCGACTTCTTCTGTGATGGCTATCACACTATTGCTTTGCTTGGCTATCAGAAGATCTGTGCACGGTGGCTACCCAGGATGAGAGAACTGTGAGACGCTGGTTGCGGAAACAGAGTGTCGACTTCTTCGGTGACGGCTTCGGAAATACATTCAGAAATGTATCCAATTGTCTGGTGATTATGCGGGAAAGTGAATAGTGGTAGTTAAAGAGCACATTCCCAGGATTATTTCTGCGTTTGATTTATTAAAATATTCCCATCCAAGCCCAAGTAACGAAGGTGGAGGCATTACTTTTCATTCAACCCTCGCAATAATAGTAATGGAATATTGGATGGTTTGCACACCTCTCGGATCGAAAACTAGACTGAGATGCCAACATGGCATTTCCGACTTGCAGGGTTTTCTTGGCAAGGCTTTACGTTGGCCGAGAGAGTGTGACTTGCCCACAGCCAGCGAAAGGGTTTCCGTATCCGTTGTGAAACCTTGGTCTCCGTTCCATCCTTCCAAAGGGCCACCTGCTTGACTTTCTCACAGGGAGGATATAAAGTCGAGACGGGATTTTCTTTCCGCCCCGTTTTCTCAAGCAAGGACGCCAGATCCGTTTGCTTTCTCCTCCTTCTCCCTCCAGCTTCCGGACTATTAATAGGCTCTCCATCCCGAGTCATCTTTGGATGATTTCCCTTTTGGCAAGGAGGCGCCCTCAGGAAGGGACAAGGTCAGCAATGGCTTGGTGGCCGGGCCTCTGAGCACGTGCAGAGCGCCAGCCAAGCCAAGGGGCCTAAGGGGGAAATAGCACCCTTTTATCTTCTGCTGAACCATTGAACTGATGAACTTGCGAACCGAAAGGTCGCCGGTTTGAATCTGGGGAGCGGGAGAGCTCCCACTGTTAGCCCCAGCTTCTGCCAACCTAGCAGTTCGAAAACATGCAAATGTGAGTAGATCAATAGGTACCGCTCCGGCGGGAAGGTAACGGTGCTCCATGCAGTCATGCTGGCCACATGACCTTGGAGGTGTCTATGGACAACGCTGGTTCTTCAGCTTAGAAATGGAGATGAGCACCAACCCCCAGAGTCGGACACGACTGGACTTAATGTCAAGGGGAAACCTTTACCTTTACTTATATTACAAAATTATTATATATTATTATGCCGGTCTCATGACCTTGGAGGTGTCTATGGACAACGCCAGCTGTTTGGCATAGAAATGGAGATGAGCACCAACCCCCAGAGTCAGACACGACGGGGCTTAATGTCAAGGGGAAACCTTTATCTTATTACCACATTACAATATTATTATGTATTATTATGCCAGCCACATGACCTTGGAGGTGTCTATGGACAATGCCGGCTCTTCAGCTTAGAAATGGAGATGAGCACCAACCCTCAGAGTCGAAAACGACGGGACTTAATGTCAAGGGGTAACCTTTATCTTATTACTACATCACAATATTATTATATATTATGCCGGCCACATGACCTTGGAGGTGTCTACGGACAGTGCCAGCTCTTCGGCTCAGAAATGGAAATGAGCACCACACCCCAGAATCGGACACAAACTGGACTTAATGTCAGGGGAAAACCTTTATCTTATTACTACATTACAATATTATTATATATTATTATGCTGGCCACATGACCTTGGAGGTGTCTATGGACAACGCCGGCTCTTTGGCTTAGAAATGGAGATGAGCACCAACCCGCAGAGTCGGACACGACTGAACTTAATGTCAGGGGACAACCTTTAACTTTACTATATATAAAGAGAGTTGTGGTCTTTGCTGAACAGGGAACAACCTTGCAGATTGGTACAAGGCAGAAAAGACAAATAGTGGATGGAGAAAAGGAAAAGAGAAGGCAAAAAAGAGAAGAAAGGAAACAAAGAAGTAGAAGAGGAGTTAGAAGGGAAGAAAGAGGGAAAGAGAAGGGAGGGTGAAGGGAGGAGGAAAGGAAGAAAGAGAGGAGAAGGAAAAGAAGAAGAGGGAAGGAAAGAAGGAAGAGAAAGGAAAGGAGGAGAAAGGGGAAAGAAAAGAAGGAAGAGAGGAGAAAGGGAAGGAAGGGGAAGGAAAGGGGAAAAGAAAGAGAAGAGGAGGGAGAAGGAAGAAAGGAAGAAAGAAAGAGAATGAGAAGAGGGGAAAAGGAAAGATGTAAGAAGAAGAGGGAAATAGGAAGGAAAGAGGAGGAAGGTAAAGAAAGAGGGAAGGGAGGAAGGAAGGGGAAGAGGAGGAAGGTAAAGAAGAAGGGAAGGAGGAGAGGAGGAAAGGAAAGAGAAGGAGGAAGGGGAAGAAGGAAGAAGAAGAGGAGGAGGGAAAGGAGAGAAGAAAAAAGGGAGGAAGAAGAGAAGAAAGGGAAAGAGAGAAGGAGGAAGGGGAGGAAGAAAAAGAGAGAAGGAGGAAGAGAAGGAAGGAAGAAGAATAGGAGGAAAGAAAGAAGAAGGAAAAAGGGAAGAAAGGAAAGGAGAAGAGGAGGGGGAAGGAGAGAAGGAAAAAAAAGGGAAGGAAAGGAAGGAAGGAAGGAAGGAGGAAGGAAGGAAGGAAGGAGAAGAGGAGGAAAGGAAAGAAGAGAAGGAAGGGAAGGAGGGAAGAAAAAAGAAGAGGAAAAGAAAGAAGGAAAAAGGGAAAGAAGGAAAGAGAAGAGGAAAGGAGAGAAGAAAGGGAAAAGAAGGAAAGAGGAAAGAGGAGGAAGAAGGGAAAAGAGGAGAACAGACGGAGGAAGGCAATAAACACACTTACTGAAAAATGTAAACAGCATGGAGGATGTCTCTGAATGAGAATTCCTTGGGAAACAATTTCCCGATCCCTGTCCCCCTGGAAACGGTATTCTGCTGGGATTGTGATGCTCTTCTAAGCTAGGTGTCGGGAGTCTTATGGATACGGGGGAAAGAACGGAGACCTGGGCCCACCACCTTGTCAACGTCCGCATGTTTATTTAGCACTTTTTGTACAACTCCATTCAAGGCATGGCGTCACACACACAATCCTCAGGACCATTACGAGTCTCGCACAGAACAGCGTCACAACGGCGGAACGGCGTCGCAAACCAGGAATTCAGCGAAAGGGGTAACAACGATCGAGAAACGGGGATCCATTCAGTCCCTGAAAGCAAAAGCCAACCTGTGCAAATTTCGGAGCAAAACGATGCTGGAAACGAGCCCAGCTCATTCCCTCCAACTTTCCCCTGAGTAAAACGCCCTCAAAGGAGGAAACAATGAGTCCCGAAAAATTAATCCGTTATTTCATCCCTGAATAACCGCTGCAGTTTTATCACCACGGCGGAAGAAACATTCATATCCTAGACCGGGATTCTTCCCAGACTGAAGTATCCGGAAACAATATTTTTCAGTGTGGAAAAACGAGAGCGAAAAAGAAGAAGTTTCCTACACAGAAAACACATTTTCTCCAGACATCATGTGCTTTTTTTTGGTACAAAGATGTCTTTCCGGCGCAGAAAACGCGTTTTTAGTGCAAAAAAGGGATTTTGTGCAGAATTTTTTGTACAGACGTTTCGGGGGAGAAAATTCTGCACAGAAAATTCTGTACCGCAAACACAGGGAAAAGCAGCCCTACGTTTCTCTTTTCAGACAAAGCTAAGCTTTATAATGCACCGAGACATTCAAATACTGATAGCAAAAAAAGGAGTCCCAATTATCGGGAGTTCTAGTTTTCGGATGGAAAAATAAATAATACGGAATATTTTTGCCATCCTGTTGCTGTAGTTTCAAATAGATAAGTCGGGAACATTTCCTGTGTTGAGACGGTTCTTAGGGTGCATAATAACATCCACTGTCAGCACAACTTTGAAAGAAAACATAAGCAAATATATATATGTGTGTGTGTGTGTGTGTGTATGTATGTATCTATGAGGTTACCACTTCCATCTGCCCTGGCAATTTCAAGGCAAACCTGAGATAATGCAATCAACTCTGCCGTCATCTAGAAATGTTTTTCGGTCTAATGACCAAAAAAGAAAGTTATATTTCCTGGATTTCAAAAAAGAAATCTCAAAATTCGGAAATTATCTTCCGAATTGTGGTCTTGTGCTGCCCCCTTGTGGCGGGTCTTTGCCAAGGCGACCCGGCCAAATATTCTCCTAGAAATCCTATGGACCTGGTCTAAATCCCAAAGGAGGAAGGTGCTCCTCATGTGGAAGAGTCTGGAGCGTCTTTTTCACCCGGATCTGCTCTTAGTTGCTCTCTGTGGCCTGCCGTCCGGAGAAATGGGATCCCGGAAGACGAGAAGCTGAGCGAGAAGTCAATTGTTTTGTAAGGTTTGGTCCCGGCGAGAAGGTGTAGAAACGCTTCACGCTCCGTTTGGGAAACTCCATTCATTAGAAGTTCGGACATGTTTGGCTTGATCGGTCGCTCTGAACGTCGTTCTTCTTAGTTTACCGGGATGAGAGATCTGTGGAGACAGAGGAAAAGAGAGACGTGATTGAAGGCATGCTTTTATGATTTTACAGAGTTTGATGTAGTCTTCAATCTCCAAATACAAGTTTTGTGTACTAACTCAGAATCACGGCAACTCCCATCCCCTGCAGCCCAGACAGCCTCAATGTTACTGAGTTCATCAGAATTTTGGATTGACCATTTTCCCCGGAAGCGTAGGGGCAATTCAATGTATGAGCGACCTATCCGTTAGACCGTGTTTCCTTTCTGTTGACAACAGCGCTACTCTTACTGAGTTCATCAGGATTTATTTCTGTTGACAACAGCCTCACTCTTACCGAGTTCATTGGGATTTCAGATTGACCATTTTTCCCGGAAGCGTAGGGGTAACTCAATGTGTGAATGAGCTATCCGTTAGACCATGTTTCCTTTCTGTTGACAACAACGCTACTCTTACTGAGTTCATCAAGGTTTTCTTGTGTTGACAACAGCCTCACTCTTACTGAGTTCATCAGAATTTTGAATTGACTGCTTTCCCCGGAAACGTAGGGGCAACTCCATGTGTGAGCAACCTGTCTATTAGACTGTGTTTCCTTTCTGTTGACAACAGCACTATGCTTACTGAGTTCATCGGGATTTCCTTCTGTTGACAACAGGCTCACTCTTACTGAATTCATCGGAAATTTGGCTTGACCATTTTCCCCGGAAGCATAGGGGTAACTCAGTGTGTGAGTGACCTATCAGTTAGACCGTGTTTCCTTTCTGTTGACAACAGCACTACTCTTACTGAGTTCAGTGGGATTTCTTTCTGTTGACAACACTGCTACTCTTACCGAGTTCATCGGAATTTTGGATTGACCGTTTTCCCCGGAAGTGTAGGGGTAACTCAATGTGTGAGCAACCTGTCTATTAGACCGTGTTTCGTTTCTGTTGACAACAGCGCTACTTTTACTGAGTTCATCAGGATTTCCTTCTGTTGACAACAGCCTCACTCTTACTGAGTTCATCGGAATTTTGAATTGACTATTTTCCCCGGAAGCGTAGGGGTAACTCAATGTGTGAGCAACCCATCTATTAGACCGTGTTTCCTTTCTGTTGACAACAGCATTACTCTTACTGAGTTCATCGGGATTTCCTTCTGTTAACAACAGCCTCATTCCTACTGAGTTCATTAGAATTTCAGATTGACCTTTTCCCCGGAAGTGTAGGGGTAACTCAATGTGTGAGCAACCTATCTATTAGACTGTGTTTCCTTTCTGTTGTCAACAGCACTACTCTTACTGAGTTCATTGGGATTTCCTTCTGTCGACAACAGCCTCATCGGAATTTCAGATTGACCGTTTTCCCCGGAAGCGTAGGGGTAACTCAGTGTGTGTGACCTAACTGTTAGACTGTGTTTCCTTTCTGTTGTAACATCATTCACATTTTGGAGAAGAGATGCACCCACAACACCTCAGGGACCCTGACCCTCATTCCTTTCCTTCATAACAATCGCCAAACCCAATGGCGCTATGTTTCCGGAATCTTACCCATGAGATCGGCGCACCAAATAGACAACCTCCAAGCCCTTTGAGGAGCATCTAACACTGAGGCAGGTGGACAGTTTAAACAAACATGGTGGTCCCCTCCCTGCCTGGTTGTGAACAACGAGAGCGTGGCAGACTCTGGAAGCTTCTGGCAAGACGGGACACAGGCCGCAGCAACACAAAGGCACGCGGGGGGAGCAGGACACATCGGTGGAACAAGGAGGAGGAGAGAGCTTAGGACACACACAACATAGCGCAAGCGGAACTGTGGGAGAGAGAAAGGGAGGTTAACGAAACAACAACAACATGTATCACAAATGCTGAAGGAAGGGAGTGGGTTAGTGGGATTTCTGTGTTTTGCGGGAATCTGATAGCCATCATCACTTACCTTGAGTTTGGAGACCTTGCGGATTTAGGATTTGGGTCGGCCGGCGGCTCCGGAAACAAAACGGAACTTCTGTGTGTGTGTTTTGTATTCTTGTTTGCGAGTGTATATTCACAGGTAGAAACAGTGGGTGAAGTCGGACTGGGAAATGGCTGGAGGGATCACCTTATGTCATAGTGACGCCTTGCTATTGATGTTTAGTGGTAATGTAGTGGTTTGAGCGCCGAGTTTACAAGATATGGGTTCTGTTCCGTGCTGAGCTAGGAAACGCACCTTAGTCCGGGCCTCTCTTCCAAATGTGGATAACTTGGCGATACATACCGTATTTTTTTGGCTCTGCTTTCTCAGTTTCGTGAGAAGATAAAGGAAATAAGAGGCGGATGAACCAAAATCCAAGTGAAACCAGAGAAAGAGACAGACAAACGGAGAGACGGAGACAGGTCAGTAACGCAAGGAAAAGGGTGCCACTTGGAATGAGACGCTAGTTTATTTCTTAAGGTTTAAATGGACCCAGTGAATTGTTCTTCTCAGTCTCAGCATTAAGGCCAACATGATGGACGTAACCCAGCCATTCGTTGAAGGGCATGTGGACAATTTCAACAGAAAGGAGGAAACCATGAACATGAACACAATTTGGCTACCAGTATTTTAAAAAATTCCAAAATCAGGACAGTAAATAAAGAGCAATACTCAGAAAACAGGAGAATTCTGGACAGGAAACCATCAGGCCAGCGAATCACCTTTCAATAAAGGATTCCCTAAGGCAGGAAGCAGACAGGCTTTGAAACTGCAAGGCTATTCAATGCTAATTAAGGTGGCCAGTTGCAATATTAACACCTGCCTCAAACAGACAAGAGTTCTTTCTCCCACCCTGGACATTATTCCACAGGACTGGAAAATCTCACTTGCCTAGTTTCCAGCAGATCATATATCACATATTTTCATTTTTTGATGTTGGGCAGTCACTTGAAAAACAAAAGAACTCGTGATACACGAAATTCGTATGGCCCTCGGTGTTTTGTACTTCTGAGTAAGGTAAACTGTTTGCGCTATTTTCCTGTTCACGTGTTTTGAATTTAGAAGTTTACTTTGAGCGCTTAATTAGAGAATAATATGTAATGTTTCCAATGAAATCAAATATGTTTAATCTTCCCCATTTTTTCTCTCTCCTTCGTTTTGTGTGGTCTTCAAATAAAAAAGTCAGAGGGATTTTTAAGGAACCCTTGTTTAGATTGATTTGTGCCCTGTGTGAAGAAATGAAAAGTACGCCATTTGCAATTAAAGTTTCATAAAATAGTTCATTTGCATTTAAATGTTAGTGGTTCAAAGCATGGCCCCAACACATTGTCAGCTCACCAAATCTGGGCCTCTTCGCACAAAGTTTGGAAAGTTTGCTCTAAGTCGATTTTGTGGGATTTGTTGTCCGGAAGAGCAACCAAACAGACATAAGCAACAACACTGAGATGTGGTACGAATTGTGCAGCAATATGAACATACGACTGCAACACAACTAGAGGAGCGCAGGAGCACACGAGAACGCAGGAGCATACGAGTCTTGAACGAGATGCAGTACAAACTGTGCTGTGAATATGATCACACGACTGCGACACAACCAGAAGAGTGCAGGAGCACACCAGAATCTCGAATGAGATGCAGAACGAACTGTGCAGCAAATATGAACACACGACTGTGACACAACCAGAAAAGTGCAGGAGCGCACCAGCGTCTTGAACAAGATGCAGTACGAACTGTACAGCAAATATGAACACGCAACTGCGACACAACCAGAAAAGCGCAGGAGCGCAGCACCATATCGAACAAGATGCAGTATGAACTGTGCAGCAAATATGAACACCTGACTGTGACACAACCAGAAGAGTGCAAGAGCACATCAGCATCTTGAACGAGATGCAGAACGAACTGTGCAGCGAACATGAACACACGACTGCGACACAACCAGAAAAGTGCAGGAGCACACCAGCGTCTCGAACGAGATGCAGTACGAACAGTGCAGCGAATATGAACACGTGACTGCGACACAACCAGAAGAGTGCAAGAGCGCACCAGCATCTCGAACGAGATGTGGTACGAACTGTGCGGTGAATATGAACACACGACTGAGCCACAATCAGAAGAGTGCAAGATCGCACCAGCATCTTGAATAAGATGCAGAATGAACTGTGCAGCGAGCATGAACGACACAACCAGAAAAGTGCAGGAGCACACCAGCATCTTGAACGAGATGTGGTACAAACTGTGCGGTGAATATGAACATATGCCTGCATCACAACCAGAAGAGTGCAGGAGTGCACTAGGCATCTCAAACGAGATGCAGTATGAACTGTGTGGTGAATATGAACACACGCCTGCGACACAACCAGAAAAGTGCAGGAGTGCACCAGCATCTCGAATGAGATGTGGCACGAACTGTGAACACATGACTGTGACACAACCAGAAGAGTGCAGGATAGCAAGATAGTGTCTGTGCAAAACCAAGAATACGAATCACCTGCGAATGAACAAACGAGTGAACAAACGAACGACCGGCCCGCTTACCTGCCACTGCCTCCGCGAGCCTCCTCCAGCTCCTTGGCCAACCGGGCTGTCTTCTCCTCCTCCTCCAGCAAGCGCCGCTTGACGGCCCGCAACTCCTGCTGTGCCTCGCACTTGATGTCGTTGGCCACCACCACCGCTGTCTGCAGGTCGGCCTGGAAGCGGCGCCACTCCTCCGTCTCTTCCTGCGTTCAAAGGGAAAGGGGGGCAAAGGCAGCACTTCAGCCTCGGGCAGCATACGTCTTTCCCAGAGCTTGCCCAACACATTTCTTTTTGAGGTTGCTGTGAGTTTTCTGGCCTGCATGGCCATGTTCCAGCAGCATTTTCTCCTGATGTTTCACCTGCATCTGTGGCTAATGGCATCTTCAGAGGTTCTGAAGGCAGCGAAGCAAGTGGAGTGCATATATCCCTCTGGAATTATGTCCAGGGTGGGAGAAAGCAAATGTGGATGTAAAGCAAATGTGGATGTTGCAATGAGCAAGCTTGAATAGCATTGAGAAGCCATGAAATTTGCCAACTGAATCAGTAAGGGTATCTGCATAGAGGTAGCGAAACAAGTGGTGTGTATCTATCCCTGTGAAATAATGTCCAGTGTGAGAGAATGAACCCTTGACTGTGTGAAGCAAGTGTGGGTGTTGCAATGAGCAAGCTTGAATAGCACTGAGTAGCCTTGCAGCTTCAAAGTCAATCAGTATGGGGATCTGCATAGAGGTAGCCTGGCTTTTGTTGCCTGGAGGCACCCTCTGACCCTTGATTATAAACTGTGGGATAATGTCCAGGGTGGGAGAAAGAACCCTTGTCTGTGTGAAGCAAGTGTGGATGTTGCAATGAGCAAGCGTGAATAGCATTGATTAGCCATGAAGTTTTCAAATTCAATCAGTGAGGGCCTCTGCATAGAGGTAGTGAAGCAAGTGGAGGGTATATATATCCCTGTGATCTACTTGTATCTCACCTTGATCTGCTTGTTCAAGGCCTTCAGCTGCCTCTCCAGATCGGCTTTCTGGTCTTCTAGTTTCATCAGGTTACCTGGGAACAGAGAGGAGAAATAGGTATAGGTATATAGTGTGTGTGTGTTTGTGTGTATACACACGTATATACTATATATATACACATACATACATACAGTGTTCCCTCACCACTTCGCAGTTCACTTTTCACGGACTCGCTGTTTCGCAGAGTGAGAGATATCAGATATGGAAGAGATATGGAATCGTCTCTTTCAGGCTGTGGTCCATGCCGCTCTCTTACCTTCCAAGTCCCGTATGACCTGGTTGTCGTGCAGCTTGACCGCCCGGTGCTGCTCCACTTGGTCTTCCAGCTCAAAGATGGCGTCCTTCAGGTTCTTGATCTCGGCCTCGTTCTCCAGGGTCTTCTCCTGCAGCTTGAGGCCTGCGCGGCTGAGCTGCTCCGACTGTTGCTCCAAAGATTCCTTCAGCTGCCGCCGTTCGCTTTCGGACTGGAAGGAGGAAGGAAGAAGGACATTGGGGTGAAACCAAGGAAAAGACAAGGACAAGAAAACAGGCATTGCAGAGCACTAACAGAATAATTCCTAACTGTTCCGATTCTTTTGTCGGAAGCTTTCATGGCTGGAATCACTGGTTTGCTGCGAGTTTTTTGGGCTGTCTGGTCTTGTTCCAATAGCATTCTTTCCTAACATTTGGCCTGCATCTGTGGCTGGCATCTTTAGAGGTGTGTTCAGAGGTCTGTTGGAAATGAGGCAAGTGGAGTGTAGATATCCCTGTGGAATAATGTCCAGGGTGGAAGAAGGAACCCTTGTCTGTCTGAAGCAAGTGTGGATGTTGCAATAAGCAAGCTTGTATAGCACTGAGTAGCCATGAAGTTTGCAAAGTCCATTAGTGAGAGTATCTGAGGTAGTGAAGCAAGTGGCGTGTCTATATCCCGGTAGAATAATGTCCAGAATGGGAGGAAGAACCCTTGTCTGTCTGAAGTAAGTGGGGATGTTGCAATGAGCAAGCTGGAATAGCACTGAGTAGCCATGAAATTTGCAAAGCCAATCAGTGAGGGCCTCTGCATAGAGGTAGTGAAGCAAATGGAGTGTCTATATCCCTGTGGAATAATGTCCAGGGTGGGAGAAGGAACCCTTGTCTGTCTGAAGTAAGTGGGGATGTTGCAATGAGCAAGCTTGAATAGCATTGAGTAGCCATGAAGTTTGCAAAGTCAATTAGTGATGGAATCTGCATAAAAGTGATGAAGCAAGTGGAGTGTATCTATCCCTGTGGAATAATGTCCAGAGTGGGAGAAAGCACCCTTGTCTGTCTGAAGCAAGTGTGGATGTTGCAATGAGCAAGTTTGAATAGCATTGAGTAGCCATAAAGTTTGCAAAGTCAATTAATGATGGTATCTGCATAAAAGTGATGAAGCAAGCGGAGTGTATATATCCCTGTGGAATAATGTCCAGAGTGGGAGAAAGCACCCTTGTCTGTCTGAAGCAAGTCTGAATGTTGCAATGAGGAAGCTTGAATGGCATCGAGTAACCATGAAGTTTGCAAAGTTAATCAGTAAAGGCATCTGTATAGAGGTAGTGAAGCAAGTGGAGTGTGTTTGTGTTATTGTTATTGTTGTTATTATTATTATTATTATTATTATTATTATTATTATTATTATTAAGTGCAACATTCACATTTGCTTCAAACAGACAAAGCTTCTTTCTCCCACCCTGGACATTATTCCACAGGAATATATACACTCCACTTGCCTCATTTCCAACAGATCTCTGAACAAACCTCTGTCACAGATGCAGGCAAAACATCAGGATGCTACTGGAACATGGTCATGGTTGCTGTGGAAAACTCACAGCAACCTGCCCAGAAAACTCACAGCAACACACTGTCCTGATTTCTCCTCTACCATCCCAATTTCCCAGCTGCTTGTAAAATGTCCTGGTTTCTCTCTCCTCCTCCTGCTTTCCTCCTTTATCTTGCTGCAATCTCAAGTTCAAAGTGCCAAAGAAGAGAGGAAGGGGAGAAATCTTAATACCCACCACACCTCTGGACACAAAACTGATAATGCTGTTGATATCTGGAGGGCCACCAAAGACCCTCGATCCACACTGCTCTGTACCTTCAACCTCAGAGGACGGACTGGATAGAGTGCCCAGAGCTATCTCAGCAACTACTACACTGTCACTGATACTGGGGTCCGTGGCCTTTACCTTGGCCAGCTGGCCCTGCAGGGCCTTGACTTCGCTATGGGCCTTGAGCAGCTCCTGCTTGAGCTCGGTGCAGGTCAGCTCCAGGTGATCCTTCTCCTCCCGGACCCGTTTCAACATCTCCTGGACATCCGAGGTGCCGGCGAACCCTGCTGCGGCGTCCATGGCGGCCGCCTTCTGCCGCTCGCTCTCCAGCTGGGAGCGCAGCGAGCTGTTCTCGATCCTGAGCCCCTCCAGGGAGACCTTGCACTCCTCCAGGGTCTTGGCCAGGCTGGTGCTGCTCTGCCGCTCGGCTTCCAGGAGGAGTGTCGCCCGGCCTTTCTCCTCCCGGAGACTCCCGGCCGCCGCGAGACACTCCTGGTGCTCCCGTTCCAAGCTGCGCAGACTGCCGGTCAGCTGCTGCTGGATGTTGAGCATCTTCTCCCGCTCGAAGTGAGCCTTCTGTTCCAACTCAGCACATCGTTGCTCCAGCTCGTGAGCCTTGGCCTTGCCCTCGTCAGTCTTGGGCCTTTCCTGGAGAAGGGCGGTGAGCTTCTCGTTTTCCTGACTCAGCTGTTCAGCGCGTTCCTGGTGCTGCCGGAAGGAGCTCTCCAGCAGGGCCTTCTCCTCTGCCAGCTTCTCGTTCTCAGCCGTCAGCTCCTGGACCACCTGCTGCTGGTCAGAGAGCTCCTGCAAGGTGGCCTGGAGCTCCTCGGCCGTGCAATGGTGGTTCTCCTCCATCCGCTGGATGCGCTCTGTCAGCGAGGCCACCGAGAGGTCACTGGCATTGTTGGGGGAGCTCCCCGAGGTGGAAGGCCTTGGGGAGGTCTTGAAGGGTGAAGGGGCGTCCATGATGTGCTCAAAGTCCGACACGTCGGGTGACAAGGACGCTTTGGTGACATCGCTGCTGGATGAGCCGGAGGTCCGGAAGGGTGGCCCATTGGGGCACGGCAAACTACCGCCGGTCCCTTCCGCTGAGGGGCTCCCGAAACTCGATTCCTGCGTGGTTGGCGTTGGGAGGCTGCTGCCGACAGTGTCCGATGACGACGAAGGGGAGTTCTCCAAGTGGGCCAGCTTCTCTTTCAGCGCCCGGTTCTCCTCCCCGAGGCCCAGCAGCTCCTTTTGGAACGCCTGGTTCTTCTCCCGCAGAGTCCGGACCAAAGGGTCGGCTGAACTGGGCAGGTCCCCATTGGCCGGTTCCTTCCTCTCCTGCCGCTTCTTGAGCTCGTTCCGCAGCTTGCCGATCTCCGAATCCTTCACCTTGGCTTCAGCCAGCAGCTCCTTGACCTGGGACTCCAAGGCCGCCTTGTCCCCAGCTTCGGCCTCATTGCCTTTGAGCTTGAGAACAGGCCGTGAGGCCTTGCTCGGGGCGGGAGCTCCCACGGAAGATGCGGAGGCGGAAGCAAGGCTAGGCTGGGCTTTCCGGGGACGCAAGGCCGCTTTCTCTCTCGCCACTGAGGCCGGCAGCTCCCGCGGAGCCGGGATCCCCGTGCGTTTGGACGACGGCGGGATGGAGCCTGGGAGGAGAAAGTAAACACAAGGAAAGTGAATTAAACACTGTCACTATCTGTTGCAGCCCAACAACCTGCGTGACACCTTTTTGCCCCAAATGAAGAGCTAATTAGCCCAAATTAGGTAGTCAATCCACTGATTTAAAGTTTATTAAAGAAATTAGTGTTCTATAGAAAAAAAATATTTCAAAAATATATTCCAAGGTAAACGTAATAGGTCAAAATGAAAGTACATCCAAAGTGCAGGCTTCAAAAGTCATTCCCAAATATATCTCGTAGTCATAGTATTCTTTGATGCAACAATCAACAAAGTCCAGACCTGAGAATAAAGCCAGAGTCCCCAAAAGTTATCAAATTATCAAATCCAAATGATATTCCCCAATCCCAAACAGAAGAACATGATGTGAAACCAAGGCAAGAATCTCCTACCGTGGAGCTCAAGGAAAAGGTGACTTTCTCCTGAAATTGCAACGTTGCACTCACACAGAGCAACCAAAGAAGATAGCTTAAGAGACCTAATTTTTTCCCATAGAACTGTAGAGGAGAGTCTATTGAACAAGCCAGTACTTGGAATCCCTCTGTTTATTTTTCAAACGCTGGGAAAACCATAATTGCCTCTGCTTAGCACTATCTTGTCATAATTGAAGCTGCTGAGTTGTAGGCAACAACCTGGTATCTTCTATCTCCCTCAAAGCAACATAAAAGCATTTGCACCCAATTTCAAATATACAAACATTAAAAGGGAATTAAATAAACAATATTTAAAAATTCAAAAACCATTCAAATAAATTCAATGCATATTCAAAGTTATACTACTACTAATAATAGACGTAATCATCATTATTTTTATGACTTTGTAGACCTGTCAGCAGCTTATGATACTGTAAATGATCGCCTTCTCCTGAGAAAAATGTATAATCTCACAAAGGACTACCATCTCACCCACTTCATAGGAAATCTGATACAAAACAGGAGCTTGTTTGTTGAGTTCCAGGGACAGAGAAGCAAATGGCGGAAACAGAAGAACAGCCTGCCTCAGGAAAGCATGCTCGTTCCATCAATGTTTAACATTTACACAAATGACCAGCCACTACCAGAAGGGATAGAGAGTTTCATCTACGCTGATGATTGTGCTATCACCACTCAAGAAGGGAACTTTGAAATGGTTGAACAGAAACTCTCTGAAGCTCTAGGTGCTCTCACAGCCTATTACAGGGAAAACCAGCTGATTCCTAATCCATCTAAAATACAGATGTGGGCTTTTCACCTTCAGAACAGACAAGCATCTCGAGCTCTGAGGATCACCTTGGAAGGAATCCCACTGGAGCATTGCAGCACACCCAAATACCTGGGAGTCACTCTGGACCGTGCTCTGACCCACAAGAAGCACTGCTTGAATATCAAGCAAAAAGTGGGTGCTAGAAATAAAATCGTACGGAAGCTGACTAGCACAACTTGGGGGTCATGACCAGACATAGTGAAGATATCTTCCGTTGTGCAAGCTATATATGGTGATTGTGTTGATGTGAGTACTGTGTGTCGTTGGGCAAATAAGTTTCAAGATATTGAGGTGACACCTTCTTCAGTCAAGAATTCAATGACTGCACCTTGCTTAGGTCGCATTGACCGACCGTCTGCACAGGGTTCCATACTTTGCACTTTAGCAACACAACCGTTCAATGCTAAGGCTTCCCACCAAAATGGAACTGTAGAGGAGAGTCTACTGAACAAGCCAGTACCTGCCACATACTATACTAGTACTTCCATCTGTTGAGGAGTTACGAAGGTGGAGGCATTACTTTTCACTTTAACAACACAACCATTCAATATTAAGGCTTGCCGTCAAAATGGAACTGTAGAGGAGAGTCTACTGAACAAGCCAGTACCTACCACATACCAATACTGCCATCTGTTGAGGAGTAACAAAGGTGGAGTCATTACTTTTCACTTTAACAACCCAACCATTCAATGCTAAAGCTTCCCGCCAAAATGGAACTGTAGAGGAGAGTCTATTGAACAAGCCAGTGCCTGCCACATACCAGTACTGCCATCCGTTGAGGAGTTACAAAGGTGGAGGCATTACTTTTCACTTTAACAACACAACCATTCAATGCTAAGGCTTCCTGCCAAAATGGAACTGTAGAGGAGAGTCTATTGAACAAGCCAGTGCCTGCCACATACCAGTACTGCCATCTGTTGATGAGTTACAAAGGTGGAGGCATTACTTTTCACTTTAACAACACAATCATTCAATGCTAAGGCTTCCCACCAAAATGGAACTGTAGAGGAAAGTCTACTGAACAAGCCAGTACTTGCCGCATACCAGTACTGCCATCTGTTGAGGAGTTACAAAGGTGGAGGCATTACTTTTCACTTTAACAACACAACCATTCAATGCTAAGGCTTCCTGCCAAAATGGAACTGTAGAGGAGAGTCTACTGAACAAGCCAGTACCTGCCACATACCAGTACTGCCATCTGTTGAGGAGTTACGAAGGTGGAGGCATTACTTTTCACTTTAACAACACAACCATTCAATGCTAAGGCTTCCCGCCAAAATGGAACTGTAGAGGAGAGTCTATTGAACAAGCCAGTGCCTGCCACATACCAGTACTGCCATCCGTTGAGGAGTTACAAAGGTGGAGGCATTACTTTTCACTTTAACAACACAACCATTCAATGCTAAGGCTTCCTGCCAAAATGGAACTGTAGAGGAGAGCCTACTGAACAAGCCAGTACCTGCCACATACCAGTACTGCCATCTGTTGAGGAGTTACGAAGGTGGAGGCATTACTTTTCATTCAAAAGTAATAGGTAGGCAGAAGCCAGGCTAAAGGCCAGGAGCTCACCCTGACCCAGGCTTCGAACTGTCAACCTCTCGGATATATCTAAGATCAATCCCTTTTGCTGGAGAGATATCTAACGCGAATACTATCTTTTGCCGAAGCCGAACCGTATTATTTTAAGCTTCGCTCATTCATTTATCCGTTCCGTTTTGAAAACCGATTCGGTAAATGAATGCCATCCCATTTCGAGACCACTTGAATGTGTGGATATACGCATGGGCAGCAAAGGCGAATGGAGAATGTGAAAGTGCGATGGTGGGCGCCTTTGGGCTCTCCTATCTTTGTCCGCCAGCAGAACGAGAGGGAAGGACAAGGCCCTATACACTGCCCTCTTTGTCTCGGCCTGCAGCACAGAACGGACGGCGTTGTGTCGTTGCCCAGCATGCCAAATGCCCCTTTTCAGTGCGTTGCAGAGGAGGGTGCTCTTTGTCTTTTGTCCCCGTGGCATTTCAGTGCCAGAGATGCGGGAGAGGACAGCGCCCAAAACACTATGCCATGCGGGCTATTCCTTTGCTGCTGCTGTTGTTGTTTTGCAACGACAACAACAACAACACTTGATTTATATACCGCTCTATCTCCCCAAGGGGACTCAGAGCGGTTTCCAAATAATATCATCAATACATACAGAGGAAACAACATAAACATAAAATTAACACAACAATATAAGCATAAAATTGTCACAATTTGTTCAGTAGACTCTCCTCTATAGTTCCATTTTGGCAGGAAGCCTTAGCATTGAACAGTTGTGTTAAAGTGAAAAGTAATGCCTCCACCTTGGTAACTCCTCAACAGATGCCAGTACTGGTATGCGGCAGGTACTGGCTTGTTCAGTAGACTCTCCTCTACAGTTCCATTTTAGCAGGAAGCCTTAGCATTGAATGGTTTAAAATGAAAAGTAATGCCTCCACCTTCGTAACTCCTCAACAGATGGCAGTACTGGTATGCGGCAGGTACTGGCTTGTTCAGTAGACTCTCCTCTACAGTTCCATTTTGGCAGGAAGCCTTAGCATTGAACGGTTGTGTTGTTAAAGTGAAAAGTAATGCCTCCACCTTTGTAACACCTCAACAGATGTCAGTACTGGTATGCAGCAGGTACTGGCTTGTTCAGTAGACTCTCCTCTACAGTTCCATTTTGTTGGGAAGCCTTAGCATTGAACGGTTGTGTTGTTAAAGTGAAAAGTAATGCCTCCACCTTCGTAACTCCTCAACAGATGGCAGTACTAGTATGTGGCAGGTACTGGCTTGTTCAGTAGATTCTCCTCTACAGTTTCATTTTGGGAAGCCTTAGCATTGAACGGTTGTGTTGTTAAAGCGAAAAGTAATGCCTCCAACTTCGTAACTCCTCAACAGATGGCAGTACTGGTATGTGGCAGGTACTGGCTTGTTCAGTAGACTCTCCTCTATAGTTCCATCTTGGCAGGAAGCCTTAGCATTGAACAGTTGTGTTGTTAAAGTGCAAAGTATGGAACCCTGTGCAGACGGTCGGTCAATGCGACTTAAGCAATGTGCAGTCACTGAATTCTTGACAGCAGAAGGTGTCGCCTCAACATCTTTAGACTTCTTCGCCCAACAACGCACAGTACTCACATCAACACAATCACCATTAACAACTTGCAGTCTCTGATGAATCTCCTTTGGGGTGACATGCCCAGCAATTACAGATTAAAAACAAGCACAAAAATACAGTCAGCATCTAAAAACAATAAAACATTATGATCAGACAACATCATAAACCAATATCATGGATGACAACTAAAGCGTTTCTCAGGTAATAATAATAATAATAATAATAATAATAATAATAATAATAATAATAAATCTATATAAATAAAAATGTAATGTTCGTTTGTGGGATTAACAGAACTCAAAAACCACTGGACGAATTGACACCAAATTTGGACACAAGACACCTAACAACCCAATGTATGTCCTTCACTCAAAAAATTGATTTTGTCATTTGGGAGTTGTAGTTGCTGGGATTTATAGTTCACCTACAATCAAAGAGTTCTGAACCCCACCAACGATGGAATTGAACCAAACTTGGCACACAGTTCTCCCATGACCAACAGAAAATACTGGAAGGATTTGGTGGGCAGTGTCCTTTGGTTTTGGAGTTGTAGTTCACCTACATCCAAAGATGACTGTGCACTCAAACAATGGA